CAACAGTCAGGCCTCTTATAAACGACCAAAAGCAATATGATGAAGCATATTTAAGTTTTGCAAAAGCTGAGCTGAACTTGCATTGACTGTTGCTACAAGATTTATTTTTAGATTTTTTGAAATATTTCCCTTAAATGTAAGTGCATCTGTAACTGTAACTACATCAATACTTGAATTGTAAAGCCAATACAGCACGGAACTGTAAACAGATAATCTGGCCAGCATGTTCTGTTTGTTAATTAAATAAAATAGGCAATCCGGCAGTGCTGAACTAATATTTTTAAGTACATACTACTCATTACAATTGGGTTCAGTCTGTTAATTAAATAATATTTTCCTTTATTTCTGTCTTTAGCTAATATATTTTGTCACACTTTAGATGATTTTACTGGGTGATATTTAAGATATCCCTGCCTCACCCCCCACCTACCCCCAAATCTGTTTTCTCAGTGTGGCTTCAGACGTTCGATCTGCATCGTTTTATGGTTTAAGCCACAGTTGTCCCATCATACATTATCTGAAGCACAATCCTTTATCCAAAATGCCTCAAAACATGTTTCACGCTGATCCAAGGTTCAACATTGGGTGCACTGAAGTACTGTGACAATCTGCTGACCACATAGCTCAATAAGACACCCTAATCCTAAAACAGGAAATATGCATTTATACCTTACATTAAGCAAGAGTTGTCTTTCACAAAATGCTACATTGATACTTTTTAAAGCTTGCCCAGATCAAGACTGGCAGATGGTGAATCAGAATACTGTGAATATTTTTTTACCAATTCATAATGCACTGCTGTCTAATGCAACGTTTATTGGTATATACCTCAATAATAGTAACAGTTCTTAACGTAAGCATTATAGTTGATCGTTTTACTTTGTCAGAACATAAGAAGTAAATGTTAAATGAAGGATTCTGGAGCAGTTGACTGATATAAGCTACTGTTTGTTGTAAGAACCTGAGGACTCTTTTACAAATCAAAGCTCTGGTATTATATCTAAAGAAATATTATTCGGTCGACAAAGAGAATGTGTTTTTCCAAGCCAAACGATCCTCTTCTACAGTCTTCTTTGCCTTTTATAGATAAGAATCTCTGTGCTCGCTCATGCTTCTCGGTCATAGGTTACATAATTAGCTTGAGCCTGGGATGGAAACTGTCTCTCAGTGGCACACAGGCTACAGCTGTCTGATAGAATAGATTTACTCACATGAGCATTTTCTACGTAAATGTCCTGTTTCGTACTTAAACACCCTGCTAAATGCTAAATCTTCTGACATCACAAGTGGACTTCTCTAGTTATTTTCCACCCTGCAGAAACACCATCTAGGAGGGAAATTAACAAGACCGAGGAGCCAACCTTAATTTAAGTTTGGGACCAGAGCAAACATTCCTGCCTAAATTCCCTCTAGTTTTATGCGAGTGTAAAAAGAGCATGAAAACAGCCACAAGGGGAGATAAGAGGGGCTAGGTAACTACACGAGTGGGAACATCAGCAGACAAATAGCAAAAGCAGAAAAGTAACTAATAAAGCAAGATAATAAAACGAAAGTAGTTTAATTTGCTCTGATTTGTTGATATGAAGGAAAACAGCCTAAAATGTTCAGGTTTGATTAATAATAGCAGTAATTAAATGGAATAACATAAAAAATATATTTTAAAGAAATACAAATGGTAGGACCAAGGTGAGCTGTGAAGTGGGAAAATTTTTTGGATGATTCCAGGTAACTGGCCTTTGCAAAAGATATGCCTGACTGGAAATACTAGAATATTTCAAAATGACTACGTTACATCATCGGAGTTAGACCTACACTGCACTGTGCGCTGCTGCGCTGTGGCATTCTCATTTGGAGCGGATTAAGAGGTCAAAGGTGTGTTTTAGCCAGTTGCACATGTATCACAGAAGGTTCTTCAAGGCCAGGAGTACCCTAATATGGACAAATACAGCTGGGATACATGTGCACACAAACTATGCTGGTTGATCTAGGATAAAGATTTATGCTGGGGTGAATTTCCTTGGAAAACCTCAAGCCTCTTGGACCAGTCGTGAACACGGAAACTAATTTGTCCAGGCTACTGCTGAGCAGCAGCATTTGGAGCCAGAACTTCAACACTTTAAGGGAATCAAAATGCTGCAAATATATAAAAACTGTTTAATATGGCTCTTTGTATCTGAGAAGGATTAGGAGGTCAGTCACCTTGCAGGAAAAAAAAATGCTAAAAGACGAGGTTTCAATTGGACAGCAGGACATCAATAGGGGAGAGGGGCGAGTAGGCCTGGTTTACAGGAGTTTTCCCATTGCCCAAATAAGTACCTATCAAACGAAAATGTGTGCCCTGCTGAGATTTGGATAAGGTAGCCAGAAAAAAGGAGCAGTGGAAACAGAACATGTCCTTATAGAGAAGGGGAGCAGTGGAGAGGGAGCAGGAAAGGCCAGGGGTTAAATGCTTCCCCAGAATGTGAGCTTTCCACTGGCGTAGACCCAGCAAAAAGAGTCCCCAACTCCCTACTGACTGACACCCCAAGGGTCCACCGAGAGCATGATCAAGCAGGCGGCTGAACTATTACAGCGGGAAATACAGCGTTCTAGGGGCATGTTTACAAATGCTTGCAACAGTAACAATGAAAGACATGGGATTTTCCTTGTGGCTTTACAACCTCGGTCAGCATTAGTCCTCCCCAGGCAGACAAAGAGCAATTTTAAGGCAACACTGAAAAAAATAAAATAAAATTGCAAGTAAAGTGAGTGAAGGAGAAAAGCCTGCTCTGACAAACTAAACAACCCATAGATGTTGTGCTCCTTTCTGATGCCCCTGGTCTCCATAGCAACCCCACTGGCCAGTAACAGCCTCAGGCTCTCCTGGCTGCAGCAGCATCATGAAGACGTATTAATCTTCGGAATGGGATCCCAGCCTGTATTTATAAAGATGTGGGGACTCGTGGAGACCCACCCAGCCCCACCACCCCCTCAGGGCACTGCTGAAGAACATGCACCTCTGAATGTAAATCATCATTAAAATCCAAGACCAAATGTATACACACAAATAGAAACCAACACACACGCCCTTAAAACAGATCTTCCTTTTTAGATCTAGTAAACAAACCCTGTCATTGGCAGAAGCAAATAGCAGCAATTATACATTAAAGTGTGTTTATAATGAGGTGGTTCTGATGCTTTCCTAACTGCACGCAAAGAGCACTGGGTGAAATATCTGCATAATATTGACACCTTCATTGAACATTTCTCCCAATTATCAAAAGCAATGCAACAAATACAAATATTCTGCCGTGTCTTATTAGGACTAGTGTCTTTCATGAGTAAGATTCAACAAGTACGCCCTCCAGAGTGAATTATTTAGCAAATTCCAACTAAAAATGCCGACTTATGAGAGGGCAAATAAGTAATAAAATATGCTCCTGGATCTCTGAGACTTGGAGCTCCTTCCACCTCCTACACATCTTTGGGGGGCAGATCTGTGGGCCCTCACACTCTCGATTGGATGCTCCTATAGAGAAACCTTACATAAACAAGCATGTGTACACACACAGGTGCTCTCATAAGTATGGACTTCGGTGTGTTAAACACATGTCTTAAGGCTGTGGTTGGCACTAAATGCACTGTGATTTATTATCGTGATTGTTCAGTAAAACAATGTCGATTTTTTATTTCCTCATCAGGTTGATGCAGTGATAGCTTGCTCCTGTTGTATTGCTGTGTATCCCTTTTCTTTTCTTTTTTCTCCTTCTGCAGGTCTAGAAGCAGACTCTTGTTCATCATTGATTGTTTATTTTTGTGGAAACACCCTGGACGTTTCTGGATTTGTTGGAGACATTTAGCCTCTCATCCCAGGGGCTTCTTCCAGACTTTGGTTGTGGTCAGAAACAAACACACTGGTTGTGCCGCAATTCTTTTTCTTTTTCTCTCCAAAACATGTTTTTGTCTAAACGAAGGTGATGTTATTATTCATAGAATTAAAATTCATGTTGAAGTTAAGATTATTTCATCAAGTAAGACCTGTGGATAGCTAGCTCATGTAAAACATGTCATGTCTTGAAAGAATCGGAATCGGGAATCAATAGGAGCTGGAATCGAAACAAGGAATTGGAATCGGAATCAGAATAGTTCAAAATCAAACGATGCCCAACCCTAGAGTTGCACAATATTTTTAAAAAAGCACATTTGTTCGGGGGCTGTAACCTAAGCAGGGAGGCCCAGACTTCCCTCTTCCCAGTCACTTGGGTCGGATCCTCCTGGAGAATCCCAAGGCCTTCCCTGGCCAGCCGTGAGACATAGTCTCTCCAACGTGTCCTGGGTCTTCTTTAAGGTCTCCCCCCGTTTGGACGTGCCCGAAAAACCTCACCAGGGAGGCATCCAGGAGGCATCCTAACTAGATGCCCGAGCCACCTCAACTGGCTCCTTTTGATATGGAGGAGCAGCGGGTCTACTCTGAGCCCAGCGAACAAAAGAGAGGTTTGGAATAAAATTATATTTTCTTACAATATTATTAGGTTCACACTTCCATACAATAGCGCACTTGAACCGTGTTGCACAACAACGTCATTGTCAGCCTGCATTTAATGGCCAAAATGACAACCGTCAAATTGACGCTTACTGGGAATTCAAGTAAAGTTGGACTTCTGGGAGTTCTAGTGATCAGTGATAATTTAAAAATACCAAATTACTTAACAGGAAAACAGAAAACATTTGTTTTAAACTTCAGTAAGAAATCCAAATGTTTGTTTCAAAATGTGCATATTTAAATCATTGACCGGATTACATACTAATCACACAGAAAAAAAGTGCCCTCTGCTATGTCATGTGCTTTATATAACACCAGTGATCGACTTTCCCTTTGCATTAACCAGAAATGACTCAGTCCATAAAGGTGACAGCAATTTGTAGTTCAAGCCAGACGATGAACTGATGATTACATAAAGGATTGAAAAACACTTAAAGCCTCAGTAATGAATGTGGGAGGTGAATCCGAGCATACTTACCAGGTGACAGACAGAGGCACAGAATACTGAAGGGAGGGGAGACGCTGGAAGATCGCACTGGTCCACTCTGAGAAGAAAAACAAAAAAGTAAATAAATAAATGACAAAGAGATGTGTGTCAGTTGTATTTACAGGCATCTGATGTGCTAACGTTGTTATTAAGCTTCATCTTGAACACTTACAGCAGTATTATGTATGCTTGTGGTGCCCTCAGGAAACACTGTGACACACAAGCACACACACTCGGGTCTAATCACCCGCTTCCAGTAATTCTCCTCATCCTATTTGGCTAGAGTAGAATTTTAATCATTTCTCTGGCTTCTGCTAAATAAACTTTTAATAGGTAGCTGCTTCCCTTAAGAAAGACGGCCTTCGTCAAACTGAGTTCTGGAAATGAGCCGGCATATTAGACAGACTGCGCCAACTTCCACTTCTGCTCTGCTGTGGCTGCAGCTGAGCGACGGGTGTGCGAGGGAGAATTAAAGGCTGCTAGGGGCGTAAAATGTAAATGTAAAGATCAGGTCAAAAGGACAGGGGGGGGGGGGGGGCATGAAGTACAGATGAAAAGACTAATAACTCCCCTCTAAACATGACATCAGATTTTCTCTAATATGCAACAGAGAGAAGACATTTCCTGTTCTTCCTCATAGAAATTCTCCAAGTCTTTCCTCGCCTCGTCATAACAACTGTCTCACTTAGCCACGAACTGGACAGGAACTGAGCAGTAATGGTTTTTTATACAATCCCTTTGCAAGATAAAATTTACCAGATAAGTGTGGCCAGCACAGGAAAGATGTAGCAAGTGAACAATTGCTTTTTAAAAAGCTCTGTCTTGTGTAGCGGATCCATTTTAAATAGTTTCATGGACTGTATTTGAAAATAGCTGCTCCACATTATCCTGCATTAACAAGGTATAAAGTAATACGTTGGTGAATTCTAATACTTGATATTGAAAATGAGTTTTGATAACACTTTGTGTGTGTCTATATTGGTCTCCATCTCTCTCCATACTTCTTGCAGATGGTCCTCTACCACAGCTGATGTGGCTGAAATAGACATGTCGAGTGGGTCAACTGGACAAGAACTGTTCACAGGCCTCTCCAACCAGTGGGAAAGATGGCTGGGTGCACACTGCACCCAGAATAGAAGATGTATACACAAATAAAATCTATGCAAAATCATGCAGTTTTTTATTATCGCCAGCTACAGAGAAGCTAAAGATAGGCAAAGAAATATCTTGAAGCACGGGAGGGATTTTAAAGAGGACATATTAGGCAAAACTCATGTTTTGCATCCTTTTGTGCTCCATGTTGGTCTCTGTTGTCTCTATAAACACTCCAAACAAGAATAAAGAAACATCCATCTGTTTTCTGTCAGTGTTTGGTTTTAGGATTTATATGCCGAAAAGTAGCTGTTTCTAAAATTCCCCAGTTGTGATGTCACAATAGGGACAATTTGCATAGGACCTGTCAGTGTTGGAGGAGCAGCAGCTCTACTCCAAGCCCCTCTGGCTTATATCTGAGCTGAGATGGGTGGGCATGGCCAGAAATGGCTTGTTTTCCTAAAAGTCACAGAGCGCTGAAACAACTGCCCCGAGGGCCAGTGTCCAGCATGTTTTGGTTGTTTCCATTAATCAAAACACTTGACTCACATGTTCAGCATCTCATTAAACTCTGCAGAAGCCTGCTAATCAACTGCTGATTAAAATCAGGTGTTGAAACAGGGAAAACAGCAAAACATGCTGGGTACCGGCCCTCTGGGAAGGAAGTTGGGGATCACTGATCTCAGGGCTGTCACGGATAAAGCTGCTTTATGTGAGACCCATTTTGTGCAAATAACTTCAAGAACAAGTTACGTATTGACCATAGAACTACTGTACCTCTAAAAAAGTTATAATACTATGTTATATAATATGAAACTGGATGTTTATCTACATGGCATTAAGTTTTAGTTCACCTTGGCCAAGGTGCATTGCCACAAATCAGTCGATGGTGCCGTTTTTTTTAAAACTAAAATTAAATCAACCCTCCCACTGTCCTCATGGGTGACCCCGTCAGGAAAGTTGACCATTGAGGAGGGTTCGTGGTTTATCTCTTGAGGTCCACGTGGTAGGGGTGAGGACTGAGCACCACCTCACCCCTCCCACGTGGACCTCAAGGGATAAACCATGAACCCTCCTCAATGGTCAACTTTCCTGACGGGGTCACCCATGAGGACAGTGGAAGGGTTGACCCACTGCTGACAGATAGTGCAATGTTCTCTAATATTGCTTAAGATTACGCGTTATTTCCAAGATTTCAGTAAAATGTCTTTTGATTTTATGTCTTCCAATTATCATTCTCATCTTCACCTTTTTCCACAAATTTTTTTACAGTAACGGCAACAATCCAGAAGGCTTCATACATCCAAAAGGCTTTAGGCTTAAATTACACAATGATTAAGGACATCACTGCTTGACTGGCGATTGCCCAAAGGAGTTAAGCTTTACCCCTGATTCTCCGAAAAAAACAAACAAACAAAAAAAAAAACAAGGAGAACAACAGCCAAAGGACACATTTTTTAAACGGCAGCCTCACACACTAATCATTGACATCACAGTGGCTGCATCTATCTTATGTAACACACTGCTGCTCAAAGGTGCCACCATGGAAACTCTAACAAGTGTCAGTGCAAGGGCAGCAAATGCACAGTGTCACAACAAAAGATGGATATATTTAGCTAGCTGACAGAATCTATCCCCTTCCTATTGTGTGATTGTGTGTGTGCATGCAAATGCACGCGTGTGCGTGTGTTTTAAGAGCTGTGTATTTTTAGAAGGTGCTATTCCTGGTTGCACACAGCAGCTCTGTAATAATTCCTTTGATTAGAGCAACAGGTAAGAGGTTGGTAATCTCCCCCCTGCCTCTCGCAGGATTTAAAGGTAGCTAACAGTGGCAGGTCTGTCAGCATCACTCAGTAGAAAACAGCTCAAATGTGTGTGCGTGTGTGTGTGTGTGTGTGTGTGTGTGTGTGTGTGTATATACACAGGGGTGCTGATTAAAAGGACAGAAGTTATAACACAACCGCCCACACAAACTCCCAAACGCATGACTTGGTCTGAACTTTACGTCATGTCAACATATTCCACCAACAGACTAGAGTGACGTATAACCACGAAAACATAAAGGACCACAACATGTCTTTTGCAAGCGCTCCTAATGAAGAGAGTGACGCGTCAAGTGGTAACAGCATATGTTCCTGCCTCAGGGAAGCAACCCAGCCAAAATCCTGGTGAGCGGTCCTCTGTGGGTGTCGCTGTGAGCAGCACCTGCCCAGGCTCTGAGAGGACAAATTCATTCTGTCCCTCACGTCAGCTGTGTTCAGCTTCAGCACTGCTCTCCTGAGAGAGAGTGTTTGTGAAGGGACATCAAAGAACGTCAACCCCCAGACCAAAAGAGGATTATGAGAAAACCCCTCCCTTTGTTTATCATGCCGCTGCATCCCACTGGGTAGCAGGGCTCTCGGAGAGGGTTTACACTGAGTGTTCACACACCGGAGATGGAAATCCAAAGAAGCTTTGTTGAAAAAAAGCACCAAATTAATTCATTAAAACCTCCTAACCTAAACACTAAAGGTGTCAACGCATATTAAGCCTTAAAGCACATGTACTTTGCACTCAGTCCCCCATCTTTGAGGGTAAAACAAACAAATTATATACATCAAACGGTGCGGTTAAATAAGTAATAGTGGGGTATAACTTTAGGTATTGGTACGTTTTACCGCTTTAACCAGATTAGCTAAAGCTGTGAGTTTTCTCAAAAAACAAAAATTTGGGATATTAGCATAAAATAAATCTTTGATGCATCAGTCAAAGTTCAGAAAGGTCACAGAAGGTAACCTGAACCAGCAGCTTTACATCAGTTATGATTTTTAATCACTAAGTTGTCATTTAAGGGTAGAATATGGAACACGAACACCAAAGCGACATCTAGTGTGTGGAGGTTGTAGTTGCAACAACAGAACAAGGTTTCCAGCAGTGGGGACACCAGGTTCACTGCTACGTGACATTTTTTATTCTGGTCCATCTGTGGTGGGCTTCACCTAAACTCACTCTGGTTTTAGATCTTTTATGGTCGCTCCTCTTCTGAGAAGAATGACAACATCTTCTGGGCTCAGAAGCAGCTGCTTGACTTATCGAGTCCGCCATTTTCCACAAGGCCAGCCTCGGGACTGTTAGGCAACCCGCAACGGTGCCCTCTATTGGCTGGTAGATGTAAACATCAACCCAGTGTTGTTTCCGTTTTATTTCCATTATTAAAATATAGCTTTCATTCTGAACACCTCATAACACCCTGTGGAAGTATTTTTTAATATATCTTTTAATTAAATTGTTCCATATTCAACCCTAATGAAGAGACTTTTCAGTTGTTATGTGACTTTTGCACAAAAATCTTCAATCATTTCCTGTCATTTTGGATTATATCACGTTGTTAATGACAATGACTGATTTCCAGGCCTAGCATTTCTAATTCCAGCCAGAGCTAAGCTAACAACCCAGAAAACAACCACCAAGCTTCAAGTGAAATCAGTCCTTTTTTTTTAAATATACAGCTTAGCACACATGAAATGCAGACAACTTGCTGTCCCTCCTCTCTTTTTCTTTTTACTCCTCTTCTAAAAAATAATCTTTATTTCTGATTAAACTGATGCTACAAGTTTCTATGTCCGCTGACTGACTTTTAATCTTGCCACTGCAGCCAGAGGAAGATTCGTAGTCCCAGCTACTGCAACTTGGCTGCAAGCCCGACAGCACAGATTCTCGTCCTGATGAGCTCGCAAATCTTCCAAGATTTCAGCTGCCTCACAAGCTTGAACTGAGTTTTATAGCTGGAGATAGAACGTGGGTGAAATTGAAATAGAAAACTAAAAAAGCGAGAGAGAGGAGCTGAACAACGGAGGAAGAGCAAAGGCAGACAAAGAGAGCGAGGCAGAGATGCACAGACACCAAAACGTTTCACACACACTTTGACTTTTCAATTTTATCTTTTCTGTGCGATGCTGCCAGGAGCCAGCTCCCCGAGGCCCAGCG